GAAAACAGAATATGAAAAAAAAAAAACCCACAAAATTTCCAAGAACTGTATGAAAATTACAAAGGACATAAAATACAGGTAATAGGAATACCAGAAGGAGAAGAAAGAAAGCAGCGGAAGATACATAAATAATAGATATCTAGGTATCTAATAATAGTGGACAACTTTCTAAAATGAATAACAGACATCAAACCACAGATCCAGGAAGATCAGTTAACACCAAGCAAGATAAATTTTTTAAAAAACTACATGTAGGCATATTGTATACAAATTGTGGAAAATTAAACAAAGAGAAAATATTGAAAGGAGTCAGAGGAAAAACTATCACCTTACTTATAGAGGAACAAGGATGAGAATTACATCAGACTTCTCAGAAACCATGCAAGCAAAAAGAGGGTAGAGTGAAATATTTAGAGTGTTGAAAGAAAAATCCACCAACCTAGAATTTTTTTCCTATTCTTAATTGATCGCATAGATAACTGTTCAAAATAATAATATCAGTAATATATTGGGTCATATTAGTTTATGAATAAATGAAATAAATAACTGCAATGCTTTAAGGGACAGGAGCGAGGCATGGGAATAATCTTTCATACAGTACCTGCACTAACTGTGAAATGGTATAGTGTTATTGAAAAGTGGACTTAGTTGTAAATGTGTACTGCAAACTCTAGGGCAATTTCTAAAAACATATTTTTAAGTATAATTGATATGCTAAGAGAGGATAGAAAATATAATCATATAAAATGCTCAATTAAAACTAGAAAAGGGAGCAAATGAGGTATATTAGTCTATTTGCACACTGCTGTAAAGATACTACCTGAAGCTGAGGTTTAATTGACTCACAGCTCTGCGTGGCTGGGGAGACCTCAGGAAACTTACAATCACGGCAGAAGGCGAAGGAGAAGCAAAGGCATGTCGTACATGGCAGCAGGTGAGAAGAAGCGAAGGGAAAGAGCCCCTTATAAAACCATCAGATCTCGTGAGAACTCACTATCATGAGCACAGCATGGGGGGAAACCACCCACATGACCCAATCACCTCCTACCAAGTCCCTCTCTCAACAGGTGGGGATTATGGGGATTACAATTCCACTCAAGATTTGGGTGGGGCACAGAGCCAAACCATATGAAGAGGGGAAAACAAAAAAGGGAAATAATTACAAGGGCAACAAACAGAAAACAGTATATGGGAGATATTAATCCAACTCTATCAAGAATCACTTTAAATATAAATGGCCTACCAATTAAAAGACAAAGACTGACAGAATGAATAAAATACAGGCATCAACTCTATGTTGTTTACCAGAAATCCATGTTAATTATAAAGACACAAAAGGAATGGAGAAAGATATATTTTTCTCTTCCTTTCTTTTCTTTTCTTTTTTTTACCTTTGAAACAGGATCTCACTCTATCACCTGGGCTGGAGTGCAGTGGCATAGTCATGGCTCACTGCAGTCTCGAACTCCCGAGCTCCAGTGATCCTCCCACCCCAGTCTCTTGAGTAGCTGGGACTGCAGGCATATGCCACCACAACAAGATAATTTTTAATTTTTTGTAGAGATGAGGTCTCACTATGTTGCCCAGGCTGGTCTTGAACTCCTGAACTCAAGAGACCCTCCTCCCTCAGCCTCCCAAAGTGCTGAGATTACAGCATGAGCCACCATGCCCAACGAGATATATTTTTCAAACACTAATCAAAGGAAAGTTAAAATAACTATTTTAACTTCAGACAAAGCAAACTTCAGAAAGGAAATTATTAGGAATAAAGAAGGCAATTACATAATGATAAAGGGGCCAACTGTCCAATAAGCCATAACAATCCTGTGTATGCACCTCACAACAGAGTGTCAAAATACATAAGGCAAAATCTGGTAAAACTGCAAGGAGAAATAGACACAAATAGACTATTGCAGTTGCGGTCTTCAATATTCCTCTATTAGTAACTGGCAAATTGAACGAGCAGAAAATCAGTAAGAATGTAATTGAGTGAATAATACTATCGCCACCTGGGTTTAATTGATGGTTATATCTCATTCAACTGCAGCAAAATACACGTTCTTCTCAACCTCGTATAGAACATTAACCTAGATTCACTACATTTGCGGTCTTTCACATATGCCAGAACCTATAGAGCTACTATACAACATACAGAGTGCACTCTAATGTAAACGATGGAGTTTAGTTAATAATAATGTACCAATACTGGTTCATCAACTGTGAGAAATGTACAACTCAAATGCAGATGTTACTAATAGGGGAACTGTGAGAGAGTAGAGATGGATTATATGGGAACTCTTCTCTTATCTGCTCAATTTTTTTCATAAATCTAAAACTGCTCTGAAAATAGTATGTGAAAGTATTATAATTTTAAGTTTGTGATTATTTTATGGCAGTTAAACTATTTTCTAAGCCTAGTGAAGGAAACCAGTCCCCTAAATGATCTCATCATATTTGCACATATATTTATATATTTAATATATATCAACATATTAAATATTAAATATATTAATGCAGAATATTAATATATATTAAATATATATTTAAATACGATGAGATTAGTGATGGGGTTGGCTTACTTCACCAGGCTGAGAAATACATATATATATTTAGATATGATGAAGTAATTGATGGGGTTGATAATTGATAATTGATGATATATATTTGCCCATTTATTTAAATGTATATTTAATTCATTTGACTATGTTTTTAGCCATTCACCAAATACAAGATTACTTATAAAGTGAGAAATCTACTGTCAAGTGGCATTTTATTCTTGTCTATAGAATCAAAACCAATACCAATATTTTCCATATTTAATCTCTGGACACTTGTTTATCTTTTTATGATCTTTTAGGATGTTTAGATTTGGGAACTTAAAAAAAATCTAGGCTACTTACTCTCCTTCCTCCAGTTGCTAAATGATCCTATAGACTGAATGTATCTGCTCCTCGTTTTGAGGATCTCTGTGTATAATGAGAAATGATGACTGGTGAAGGCAGAAAAAAAACCTGCTGACTCATTGGATAACATAATCAACCACTTTATTGTTTAAAATAACCCTTCCTCTGTTTTTTGGAAATGGAGAAGGAATCAATTTAACACATAATTTTCAAGTATAATTTTATTATATCATAGAAGCAAACAAAAATTTCCAAGAATAATCTGAAATTAGGAAAAATGTGCCAGTTTACTAAGAAATAACGATGCTGTGTTGAAATGTTTCTCTCCTGATTCAAAGTATATTTTCCATGTAAAATGTTTTACAGTAAGAATACCCCAGGCTAGGCACAGTGGCTCACGCCTGTAATCCCAGCACTTTGGGAGGCTGAAGTGGGTAGATCACTTGAGGTCAGGAGTTCAAGATCAGCCTGACCAACATGGTGAAACCCCACGTCTACTAAAAATACAAAAAATTAGCCAGATGCGGTGGCGGCGCCTGTAATCCCAGCTACTCGGGAGGCTGAGGCAGGAGAATCACTTGAAACTGGGAGGTGAGCTGAGATTGAGCCACTGCACTCCAGCCTGGGTGACAAAGCGATACTCTGTCTCAAAAAAGCAAAAAAAAAAAAAAAAAAAAAAAAAAAAGCATACCCCAATAAATAATAAAAATATTATCTTTGTTGATTTTAAAAGGAGAGTTCACAAAAATTAAAGATTTATTCCTTGAAAAGTTTATAATTCTGTAATTATAATAAGCTGAATCAAAGATAACTATAATAATCTATTGTGAGTTTAAGAAAACACTAGTATACTTACTTATATTTGTATTTATAATCTACTTAATTTCATAAAGTCTTTGAAGCAATATAGAATAAAAACAATAAAATAATAGGAACAAAGGGAAAAACCTAGGAAATTAAGAAAGTCAAGATGAAACCAAACAGAGTTTAGATGCCAAGAACACATAGTTACTATAGAGGATTTTCAATTTTGGTCTGAGTTTCACAAGAGAAAAGGCAAACAGTGGGTTAGGTTAGCTTCCTATTTAACTGCTATTTTTGTGAGACAGTTCTTCAGGAAAGAAAAGGTTTTTCTAGTAGTAAATTTTAGAACTGGCTAAAGTGGTGGTAGATCTAAAGATAAAGATAAATCAAAAGATTTATCTCTGAGGCATTTTTGAAGGTACTATTACACTCTTATACTCTTAACACTGGTGTATTCATTTGACAAATTTCATGGAGTATCTACTGTAAAACAGACACTCTTTTAGACATTGGGAACAGACAAAAACCCCTGCACCAACTTAACTTACATCTAAGAAAGGGAAACCAGATAATAGATGACATATAAGGTATATGAAATACTGAAATGTCCTAAGGAAAAAAAAAATTAAGGAGCCAGGAAGACTAGAGACTGTGTGTGTGTGTGTGTGTGTGTGTGTGTGTGTGTGTGTGTGTGTGTGAGTGTGTGTGTGTTTGTGTGTGTGAGTGTGTGTGTGGGTGTGTGGGTGTGAAGGTTGGGGGTACTGCATTTTAGGAAAGGAAGTCCTCACTGAGAGGGAGACATTTGAGTGAAGGCCTGGAGGAGGGAGTGGGAGTTGGGAGAGTGTGTCCAGTACAGAGGCCCTGAGGCAGATTTGAGGAAGGGCAAAGAAGTCACTGTAGCTGGGGTTGAGGTGGTAAGAAGGAGAGGGGTAGAAAATGGAGTTAGAGAGATAATGGGGGATGGGAAGAATGTGAGGGGCCTCATGGGCCTTATGGACTTTGGATATTTCTCTGGGAGAAATGGTGAACCTCTGAAGTGTTTTGATCACAGGAGCTGTATTAGTCATTTGTTACTGGGTAATAAATATAGCCATCCAAAATGTAGTGGCTTAAAAGAACACTAAACATGTATTATCTCTCATAGTTTCTGGGGATCAGTAATGTGGGAGCAGTTCAAGCAGGGCTTCCTACTCAGGGTTTCTCATCAAGTTGCAGTCAGAGCTGGGCTAGGGCTCTGGCCACCTGAAAAGGTGGTTGAGTCGAGAGGATCCACGTCCCAGGTGGTTTACTCACATGACTGATGAATTGGCTATAGTTGATGTTGGGAGATCTCAGGCCTTCTTGACATGGGCCTCACCACAGGACTGCTTGTCTCATGGAATGTTACTGCCTTTCCACAGAGTGAGAAATCCAAGAAGGGGGCAGTGTCCTTGCCCTCTGTGACCTAGCATCTGAAGTCACACATCATCCCTTCTGCAGTGTTCTATTAGTCACACGGTTCATCCCTGATTTAGAGTGTAAGCAGATGGCATCATGGTGTGGATACCAGGAGGGTGGGGATCACTGGGAGCCATCCTGGAAGCTGACTCAGGCAGAAGAAAGGAGATAATTACTGGAACAATGTCTCCTCATAGGCATGAGTACATAGAATTTAGTGCAAAAGGAGAAGAAATAGCCTTTGTTAGGGACACAGAGGAGCATTTGATAGTAACAGTATAGAGGTGCAGTTAGAGGAAGGTAGGAAGATCTTATGGTAGGAGCTTGTGCACATTCTCGTCTAATTTTTTCTGTTTCTCAGTGAAATAGGAAACAAGGTCTTAGGTCAAGAGTGAGGATTGGGAAGAAGGTGTTTGCTAGACATTCATCAGTATTTCAAGTTTTTCAGTATCTTTTAAGTGATGCAGTGCTCATTGCCACTAACCCTTGTTTGGTCATATTATAAAGGAGGAAAAAAAGTTCTATTTTTTGATCATTGTTCTATTGTAAGAAGCACAGCCCGAGCTTTAGTAAAGTGAAAAAGCCCCAACTCTGTGTATATATATATTTTTCATTTTAAGGACAGTAATTTTTTCTTTTTGATTTCAAGAACTTTCTATGTTTACAGCATAGAAAGTTTTATGCTATAAGCATCTTTTGGTGCAATTAGACAACTTTGTTACTTCTGCTGATAGAATAGAGTAAAATACAGATAATAATATTTGCTTAAAGGAGACATTTTAAAAAATAAGACATGGTTTGTCTTAGCCCGATCAGCCTAAAACCACCAGGGACAACCTGTAAACAAACCAATCGAGTTTACTGACTCATTGCAGTGTGGGGACTGCACAACAGAGCAACTGTGAGGTATCTCATCAAACAAAGGAAAATATAGAGTTAACATAGGGTTTTGCTGAAGAGTGAAATTTAGGTGTGATGTAAATGAGGTGATGTTCTATGGGCTCTAAGCAAGTATGGTTGTGTATAAAAGGGGTCAGCCTCAGCTCTGTACTGTGAAATGGACCTATGGTCCTTGTCTTAGTCCATTTTGTGTTGCTATAAAGGAATATTTGAGGCTGGGCAATCTCTAAGGAAAAGAGGTTTATTTGGCTCTCTGTTCTGCGGGCTGTACAAGAAGCATGGCACCAGCATCTGCTCCTGGCGAGAGGCTCAGGCTGCTTCCACTCATGGTAGAAGGTGAGGGGAGGTGTTGTATGCTGAGATCATATGGTGAGAGAGGAAGCAAGGAGGGAGGAGGGGGGTTCCAAGCTCTGTTTAACAACCAGCTCTCTTGAGAACGAATAAAGTAAGAACTCACTCACTGCTCCCTACCCCAGGGAGGGCATTAATCTATTCATGAGGCATCCACCCTGATAACCCAAATACCTATCATTAGGCTCCACCTCCAACACATTGGTTTGGAGGAGACAAACATTCAAACCATAGCAGTCCTGTTTTCTTGGAAATGAAGTTAAAAAAGATGACAAATGTTGTGTCCTGAGACCCATTCTTTGACGCTTTGCACAGGGGCTGTAAATCAAGGCTTCACTGATCACAATGACTTAACTCCTCCAGATAAGACTGAGATGTTTCATTCTTATTGCAATAATTTTAAACAGCAATGCATCTGATAGTCTATGATTTCAGAGAATAAAATTTCTCAGTAAGTAAGCAGTAGTCCCTCTAAGAACTGGGTTTTTAGGGCATTTTATGACTGCAATATGTATTTGGGAAAAATATTGTTTTCTGATAAATTTGCACCTAGCTTAATGGGCAGCTCTGGTTCTAGACTCACAAATGTTAGGGACATTGCTTTCTTGGTCCAAGTAATTTTCTCAGACTATAGTCTATAACTTACTATGATTCTGAACATTGATGAATAAGTCACTGTCACTTCCTAGGTAATCTGAGTCAAGACATATAAAGAGTTTGTATTTCATATTTTAAATTTATAATACAAGGTGGTTGGAAGAAGTCTTCAATAGAATATGTATATAGAACTAGACAGTTTTTAAATATTAGTGACTAAATTACAGTGCCTCCCACAGCATGTTTACTGGAACTCAGCATCCAAGTGTCCCACAATCAGGTTTGCCAGTTTCCAACAGGGAGCCTCAAGGTGCTCAGACTCCAACTGTGGCATCTTCAAAGCTTTTCTTTCTGGTTCTAGCTTGCTCTGGCTAACAACCACTATCATCAAAGCTGTCTGAGGAAGACCTCCTGTTGCTGCGACTGACGGGACTCTTGGTGGAAGCCCTATTCCTATGTGCCCACGGCTGCAGCTCCCCAAGGGAGCAGGACATTGTTGGATTCTCTAAGAAGCTCAGAGGAAGTCACTTCTCACTGTGGTGCCATATGGGACTTGAAGTCGTTCTACTCATACTCTGTTTTTCAGTAAAGCTGCTTTTGCCTCTGTCTTCTGTGCCATGTCTCCTGCAATGAATTCCCAAAACTTAAAGCAAACAAAACCAAAACCCAAAGCAAAAAAAAAATAAAAAAAATTAAAAATAAATAAATAAATAAATAAACCGAACAAATCAACTAATAAAAAAAAAAAGAAGAAATGAAGTCAACATTCTTTGAGATCCAGCTCTGATTCTACCTTACACAATGATCAAACCACAACACTTAACTTCAGCCCACAGGTTACCGCAATTTTGTCAAAAACAAAAGTGCCTTGAGATTATATAGTTAAAGACCTCATCGGTTGATTTTCTTTTTTTTTTTTTTTTTTGAGACGGAGTCTTGCTCTGCCGCCCAGGCTGGGGTGCAGTGGCCGGATCTCAGCTCACTGCAAGCTCCGCCTCCCAGGTTTACGCCATTCTCCTGCCTCAGCCTCCCGAGTAGCTGGGACTACAGGCGCCCGCCACCTCACCCGGCTACTTTTTTGTATTTTTTTTTTAGTAGAGATGGGGTTTCACCGTGTTAGCCAGGATGGTCTCAATCTCCTGACCTCGTGATCCGCCCGTCTCGGCCTCCCAAAGTGCTGGGATTACAGGCTTGAGCCACAGCGCCCGGCCTGTTGATTTTCTTAAAAAGAAAACAGGAGACAGCTTGTCCAGGTAATTCAAAATCTCTATCTTAGAGAGCAAAAACTGCTCATAGGGTTACATTTAAATAAAAGTTTCTACTTGATTTTACTCATCAACAATTTTAAAACTCTTGAGTCCAATCTTAGCCAGGACATCCTTTTGCATAAGTAATCTTACAAATCTTACAAATTGCCCCCTCTCCCTCAGTGAATGCACATGGCCATTTCTACCTTGCCTGTTGACACAGCTGTGTGATTTTCTTAAGCAGTGTTCCCCAGTCAGTAGATTCACAGGGTGAGAGTTGGCGTAATACCTGTGATGAAAAGACAGAGGAGAAAGCTCATTGAAGGTGCTGATGAGAGTATCATTGATGAGATTCATCAAGGGCCCTAATAGGGCTGGAGAAATAAGTAAGAAAAAAAGAAGGTACTGATGGAAAAGGCTTCTAAAGAAAGACTTCTCAATGATATATAATAACACTAACCATAACTACGAATAATTATTGAGCCTTTATTTGGGAAGGCACTGCAAAAAGAGCCTTATCTGCATTATCTTGTTCAATTCTTAGAACAGCTTGCTGAGTTACATACTATTATTTCCTCCATTTTATGAATGAGGATTCTGAGTCTCAAAGAGTAACTTCCTCAGATCCATGTGGCTAAAAAGTGGTACTGCTAGTTCTTAAACCAAATTTTCTCTGATTTCAGTGCTTGTGTTATTAGTTCTTAATATGCTTTCCAAAATATTGTGAGATATGCACCTTATTCTGAAACTTTTAATTAGATCTGAAATACACATGCAAATAATTATCTACAGAAGGTGAAAACTGTAACGTGTCTTTTTACACGCACTTTCAAAAACTATCTAAGCCTGCTTCCTCCACTACCCCTTCTCTCTCTCTCTCTCTCTTTTTTGTTTCTAGCTCCTGAGTCCTCTCATTTTGACTCTCTTCCCATTATTCTTCCACTTTTCAGGTGGATGACCCATTTTCAAACTTATCCTGATTTTTACCTTTAGGATTTTACCTGGATATTTTTCAATTTCATGAACCAAAATCACCAGTAAGATACAGCTTAACAATTGCCAAATATTAACAATTGTAAGAAAAAATCAGATATGCTTGAAAAAATTAGCAAGCATAAGCTATGAATTGATATGGGAAGTTTACTAGTGAAAACATAATAAAAATTTGACCCACATGAGGGTCAAAGATTTAACACAGGTAACACATCCAACATGAGGATAAAATGTAGTTTTGTTAGTTTTGTCATAGTTGATTTGTTCTTTCTCTACACCTGCTGGTAAGAAGAAAAAATATTAACTTTGATTTAAAGCTTAGTTTGAACTGTTAATTTAGGCAGAAGCTTTATCAAAAGTCTGCCTTGGCAAAAAGTAAAACACAAACAATGCTCAGTTATTACACAGCCCTCCAACCCCCGAGTTCTCTCCCTCAGGTGGTGTCCCTCTGTCTGAGGGAAGGGTTGGGGCTTACAGAACATTATGAACATAGATGAGTCAGAGTCCTAAGATGTTAGATGCTGTGTCTCATAAATACTCTAGTTTCCAGGACAATGACCCATCTAATTTCTGCCTTGTCTGCTGGCATTTGTGGCTAAAGTGTAACTCTCGCCTTTTGCTCTTATTACTGCATAGACACTGTCAAAATCACCAATGGCAGCCAGTTTGCTAAATCCAATGGTTAATTCTCTGTCATTATTTGTGTCACTCTTCAGCAGCATCTGTCACAATTGATTTTTCCTTTCTCTTTCATGTTTTGCATTCACATGGCTGCTAGAACACCATATTATCTTGGTTACTCTCCTTTACTCTCAAAGCTTCTTCATTAGTCTCCTTGGATGGCTCTTCCTTTTATTCCTAACCTTTTAATTTTGGAGTTCCCAGATCACTCTTCTGAAATCCAGTCCCATATATCTAATCTCTTACTCAGTATCTCCACTTGGATGTCTGAGAGACAACTCGAACTTACTCCAAACCTGCCTTAGACGTATCTTCCCTTTCTCAGTTGCAATGCTACAGGTTCTCAGACCAAAAATCTTGGTGTCCTTAGGCTCTGCTAGTCCATAGCTTTGTCTCTTCCCTCATAGGGGAGAAACATAGATCAGGATTTTTTTTTGTCCTAAGGTCTTGCCTCTGTGATTCACAACCCGTTCTCTTAATTGACAATGTCCACTGTATTACAGGGCATAATCATTTCACGTGTGCAAAGTTGTTTTGAAAACTAGAGACCTAGGTAAATTTGGGGTAAAGCCATATACGGAATTTGAAATTTATAATCTGAAATAATCTCTTTGATCAAAATCAGCCAAATGCATAAATTGTCTCTTGCAGGCTTGAGTAATAATTTCAACTGGTCACATTTCCTTGACCTCCTTTTGACCCTCCAGGGGTCTCAAATTCAACATGTTTAAAATACCATCTTTCCTACAAGAGGCTCTTATAGCTATATTTGCCTTTCTTCTGGAAATAGAACCTCTGTTCTTAGAACATTTTCTCTTCCTGGTCTAATTTTACAGCTTCCATGAGCATTGCCATTTTCTTACATGAGCCCACCACCCCGGCTCCCATTTGATTGGTTCAGGAATGTCAACCTGGCCCAAGCTAAGCCAATCATAGTATTTTAAGACCCTAGTTACAATTGGTTGATCCATTATGTGACATAAGGTGGGTCAGTTACAATCCTTCCTTAGAATATTTGAACTTGGAAGCACAGAATATAAAAGGCAGTTCCCTTCAGAGATGAAACCTATCAGAAGTAAAACTTGGCATTTGTTTATAATCACATTTCCAACTACAAGAAGGAGAACAGTCTGCAGTGAGAAAGAATAAAACTGACATCCAGAGAGAGGTACAAATGAAAGGTAGAGAACTAGATTCTGGTGATGTTCCAGTGGCTAGATCTAGTTTTTCCTGGGGCCCAATAGGCTATCCTTTCAACAGGTATTAATGAAGAATCTTGTACTTTATATTATGGATACCCTTGCTAACTATACGAAGAAGGAAAAAAGTATTCATTTTCTTATCTAATTGGGAAGGACATCGAAGTAGCTAACATAATCAAATAGCTGCAGTAACCAGGTCTCTATTTATGCTTCTGGCACTTCAGGACTGCTAGCTTTCTCTTTTTATATATCTCCCATTTCTGCTTATTTTAGCTTTTGCATCAGTCTCAACTGGACTTCATGCAGTTATGTTTTTTCTAGGGCACTGAGGAAGATGGCTGCAAGCTGCTCCAGTGTCTTTTCATCCCTCCTAAACGATGACCCCAAAGACAAACACTCTAAGGGAAGTCTAATGAAGCCTCCTGATTGGTGTAGCTTAGGTCTCATGACCACCTTTGAACCAATCACTCTGGCTAGACCCAGCTCATACGCTACTTCTGTGTCTGTGGATAGGTCAGAGTCAGATAGAGCTTTGCAGAAAACATGGGGAGAGGAGGATACAGTTACTATAAAGCATATTATAATACATTCTGAGAAGACAACACTATAGCTACCACAGTCCACTATACCATTGTTTGTTGGTTTAATTCTTTCTTGGATTCAGTGCAGCAATAAAAGCCATTTTTTGCTAAGGCAGCTGGGTTTTCTCTCATTTGCAATCAAGAGTCCTGATGAACATACATTTTCCCATTTCTCTTTTTCTTCTTACATTCCTATCTCCCTGAATGACACTGCTTACTGAATCATTCTAGTTAAAAATATGGGAATCCTCCTCAAGTTTTCTCTATCTTTCACTTTCCACAGTCAAAAATGGGGGAATTATTCTTAATTTCTGCCTATTCCTTCTATATTAATAGATATCCATATCCAGATATCCTGCTATGTCAGTTCTAACTCTAAAATAGCTCTATAATCAGCCTCACTATTCCATTCCTATTGGCACAACCATTGTTCACACCCTCATCATCTTTTGCATGATGTGCCCCTTAATTAGTTCACTGAAAAGTCTTGCTTATTTGCATTCTATCTTCCACACTACTGTAAAAGTAAATCATCATGCTATTTCCCTGAATGGTATTTTCTCTTGACATCCATTGCCTTTAGAATAAACCTAAAAAATTTCTTGGTGATGTGTACAGGACCCTTTCTGAATTTTTGTTAAGCATGCTTAACTTCTCTCTTGGTGTTTAGGTCTCAGCATCAGTTCTCACCTATGTATCCCACCTATGTATGTCACTGCTGTGTCATCTTCATCCCATTCTTTTCAGTCAGTGCTGTTCTGACCCTAAACTCTACTCTCATCATTAGGTGTCCTTTATTTGCTCTTGGGACTCCTTGATATCCTGAATCCTTCTGCCTTTGGTACTTACCAGGTTCCCAAACCTTATATTATACATAAATCACTTATGGAGCTTTTCCTTGACCTATCCTGGACACACTGCATTGGAAACATTTTAAAAATTTCCTCCTGGATCAGGTGTTTTGTAGGAGCAGTCATTTAGTAAACACTTGAGTGTTTCTGCTACTGCCTGATATTGGAGTTCTCAAATGCTTCCTTTCATCACTGATTGGAGCAATAAAATTCATTTTTGCACCTTTACCTACTTCTGAGACTTCTTCTGATTGGTTGACCTGACTTTAAAATCTCTTCAGATTCCATTATAGTCATCTCTGCTCCCTACCCTCATGACATTAACGCAGAATCGGCTATTTCAATCATTTCGCTCTCCTGTAGTTATGCAGCCCCTCCATTATTCCATCTCTTTGAATTTGTTCTGTCTATACTTTCTTTATCATACATAATTAAAACTCTAGTTCAAGCCTAAATTATTTTTCCCAGCTACCTTGGCTATGTCTCCAACTATAAATTCTCCTTCTCACTTGAGAGCCCTGACATACCATTTCTAGATATTAACCAGGGCTTTAAAATCATTGTAGTGGCTCCAGTCATTGGCACACTACAGCAGAGGGCAGATAGCATGCACCTTTTCCAACGTCCATTTTCAATAACATCATGGCAGTTGTGTAAAATCGGCTATGGTGTGAATATTTACGCCACCCAAATCAGCAAATACTCAGCAAATGCTAGTTTTTTTTTTTCCCCCTGGAGGGCTAGTTGTTAATGCATTTACCAGCATATCACTAGCTTCAGTGGACGACCAAGCTGTGGGACCCCTGATGCCAGCCTGGAGTACCTGATATAACACTACAGCTAAGAAGTATACACCATGGACTAATATCAGCTGAAAGCAAAAGTGGACTGAGCCTGGACAGGTGGGTTGTCAGTAGTCTCTAGACCTTAAAAAGTCTAAAAGTAAACTCCTAGTTCTGCTCCAAATCTGTTCTACTCATG